TTTCCATAACACTTCCAGTGTAGGGGAGAATTATGGAACCTTTTGGAATCCTGCAAGACATGTTCTGTATTAGCAGTGAGCCAGAACCTGGGAGCTGAAGGCTCTATGCTATTTACCTGCAAAGGCTTTATACAGCCACAGTTCAATATCTCTGATGAATCCTTACCCTGATCTTATCTCAGGATTTAGACAGTGAATGCTGATACTGACAGTTAACACACCTGTGCTGTGGCATGGAAATCTGCTCAGAGAACTGCTTCTGTAAAAAACTGAATATTTACATAACCCACTATAAAACTGTGAATGCAACTTCATAAGCAAACTTCTACATCTCAGACCTGTTTTTTTTCATCAGTAGTTAGTGAACTCATTGAAGGGATCTTTTTTCAATTACCATCCGGAAGAAATACAACACAACAGATAATGCACACACTAGACACCTTCATAACTAATATTAAGGATCATATCTTGCAGAAAAGAGAAAAATACAAATTTTTCTTTGATGTTTAAAAATAAAGAATCTTACACAACAATCATTCTTAACTAATCCCCCGCAGAGCAACAAACTGAAAACACGTAAGACAAACTTGAGAGGCTATTTACTTTGAATACATTTCAATTGCTCTGCTTGCCCTTAAACGCACTTTAAAACACAATTTTACAGTTTTTTGTACAGTTTTTGGAATCTTACCCTTATCTAAAAAGTATTAAAGCTTGTTCTTGTAGAAAACTGAAGAAATACTTGTTGACAACCATTACACTTAGTGCCACATGACTTTCTGATCAAAACAAAAAGAGCATATAACACAGTAAATACATGTTAAATAAATTAGAAATTCACCAGGTGATCTCAGCTTTCTGTTTCCAAAAAGAAGGTACAAACAGGGAATCATGACTGAGTAATGTTATTTCTCTTTGAATCCCATAAGGATTAGTACTAGACCTTGACACCGTTCACCATTTTTACTGATGATCTGGAAGCAAACATGGAATCACTGTTGGTAAAATTTGCAGATGTCACCGAGATTAGCAGACAGTCAATACTAACAAAAGCAGTACACGCACACAAAACAATCCATCATTTATTAATCTAGACATAGTAAAAGAAAATTAAAGTTAATACAGCCACACAGAAAGACAGACATTTATGGACAAGAAGCATGGAACCAAGGACTAAATCCTGGAAAGCAATGAATTTCAAGTGTACTTGTCTACTATGAAAAATAATTCAACATGGACTTCCTATACAATACTATGGCAAGAAGTTGATCCAAAACCAATGAAATAGAGAGTATGAAAGTTGGCGCTGCTGAGATTTTAAATGAAGTTCTGTGCTCAGTTCTACCACATTTGTTTTCTAAATGGTGGGAAAAATTGGAGAAAATGTACGAGAGAGCCACAAAACCAAGCTGAAGGCTGTAGAAAATGCCTTAAATAAAATAATTTAAAGAGATAATATTAGGGTAGCAAAAAGGTTGCCTTGTAGCTTGATTACAGTGTTCAAAAACTTTTGTAGACAGAGAACAGTGGGTAGTGAGGGACTACTTAATCTACTGAAGAAAAGCACACCAAGAACCAATGCCTGAAAGTTAAATCTAGACAAATTCAAATTTAAAATAAGGCACATGATTTTAAGCGTGAAAGTGATTGAGTACTGGAATAAATTATTAGAGAAGGGGCTAAATCTTCATTTTTTGATATCTTTAAATCAAGCTTGCCTGTCTCTGCAGATGACTTGCTTTAGCAAAATCACAAACTGTGCTTCTGTCAAACTGGTCTTTGCCCTAAAGTAAAGGGAAAATTTATGACCAGGGATCTAGATGGGGTCAGAGAAGATGATCTCACGTCCTTTTCAGTCTTACCCTTTATGAATCTATTAATTTACTGAATGAGTATAGAGAAAAAATTTTCTGACTTTTACCATCTGAATAAGAATGTGATCTGTAGCAGATTGTAAATCATACAGTAATAAATATATGCCAGAAACTATCAAGATAAATATATTCTTGAAATGTCTTCTAATTTAGAAATTTAGAGTTATTTAATATTTTACACATTAATTTTATTCTAGGTAATTGAATTAAGGTGAAAGGGTTAAGCAGACAGGCTAATGAAACGCTGTGCCATGTACTTAGCTTAATGTGGTTGGAAAAAATCAATGAACTTTGGTCTGTCAGTTTGCAATCACAGATTTAATTGAATAACATGTCAGGTATTTTAAACTGTTTACCAATGTAAATAGAATCTAGCACTATAGTCATTGTAATAAGCCAAGCTGCTTTCCCTGAATTCCAATCAGATTGGAACATGACCTTGATTTTAAGTTCCCACATGCCAGACAGAGATCGAACAGCTATCATTTTGTCTACAGAGTGCAGTGATTAGTCCTGTGATTCTGAAAAAAATATATTTGTTAGTGATTCCCTCTCTAGAATACAGGTAATAGCTGATCAGTTTGATATTCCTAGCAATGGTTAATCCTTCTTTGTGCATTTACATTCACTTCCACTTGATTATTGTCACTGGGAGGAGGAATAAATCACACCGCAAGCTTTTACTGAGTCTACCTGAGAAGTGGTGGAGGCAGCTTTGTGCATGATCACATGAAGGGAACATGAGGAACAGAAGGAGAAGCATCTCCTCAGTTTGTTTTATGTGAGTTCCAGGCACAGCTGTACAACAGCTCCTTACTCTTCTTCTTCTTCTCCCTTTTATCACTCCCAGGCAGTCGCTTCCCAAGAGGAGACACGAAAGCAGCAAGGAGAGAGGGTCACAGCCCTGTTCAGGCTGAAGGACCTTGTCACTGCCAGACCAGAAACAAGAGCAGGCAATGTTTTGGTCATGCAACATGCACATTCCTGTCCTTTTCTCAGATCCAGCAAAACATCTTTTTTATTCTTTTTTTTTTTACAGGATCCAGACACCTGCAATGCAGATGTTTCCATCTGACTTATGTGTTTACGCTCCCGTAACAGTCAACATGAAGATCTAAGTGCTCCCATTGGTACCATTGTTCCTATTCTAAAATAGATGTCCAGTAGCAATCAGTTATATTGCCCTATACAAGTACCTATTTAATCCCAGTGATCAGAAAGTTCTTTAGGATAGGCAACTCAGATGGAAACATTAACACCGTAGGACATATGAAGTGAGGAGAAATGAATTCCACCCTGCATGCCTCCAAGCTCTCCTTAGCAACCTGCAGAAGAACACTGCCTCCAAAGTGCCTGCTAGGGAGAACCAAGTCCCTGTTTTACCAGACTGATCATGTGTGCAGTGTAAAATTATGAAGCTATTTTAGACTATCAGCAGCCTTTCCTACATGTTCAAGCATGGTCTCAATTGTAGTTAAGCCCTTTCCATTTCCCCAGCAGACTGTCACCTCAGATGTAATAGGAACTTGTCGTGCTGGCTGCTGTGCAGCAGGGCAAATCCTGCAAGAAACTTATACTCGCTTAGGAAAGGAGAAAACAGGGAGAAAACAGGCAGATTGATGCGGGAGTACACAGACAATAAGGCAACGTTAGTCAGCACAGTAGGCAGTGGTCCTAATATGCTGGCCAAGCTTTTGGGCAGCATCACAATAAAGGAGAGCTTTAAAGAAGGAAAGGAAGACAATAGAAAGACTGTTCTGTAGAGAGCTGTGGAAGGCATTGTGGGGAAGGAGCACAAATGTGTAAACCTGAAGATATAGAAAATGGGTGAGGGAAGCTAATACCAGAGGCTGACAGGGATGGAGGAATCATCTGTGTGCTGAATGAGGAACTGAGAAGACTGGCAAAGATCTTGAAAACGAAGGTATTGAACCACAGATTTGTTCCTTCTCTTCATGCAGTCCTCTTCAATCTTAGATTACACTTTTTTTTTTCATTATGAATCCTAAACCAGGATGCTACCTTGCAGTAATAATGTAAAAGAGAACTACAGCTTATATATTTTACAAGAGTATGCAGTACATTAAAACAACAACAGACTATTAATTCTACAAAGTAAGGCATTCAACTTGGAGAACACCCTTATTAAAGCTATATATTTGACCTTCAGTGACTGTGGTGCACATACACTGTTTTCAAATAATCATAGAATATACAGCTTTTTTCTATATCCTTATAGAAGGGAAAAAATACAGCACTTGTAAATTTCTGCTTTTTCTTTATACATATGTCCCCCTGTCCCCTTAGTTCAGCATATATCTAACAGTTGAAAACAATAAACAAAAGTTTATTTATATGCAATGCAGAGGATAAAGTAGTAAACAGTGAAGCTTAATTAGCTGCATAAACATGTGCAATGCAGCCCTACTTAGGTGCAATCTAGGGCCGAAGCAATTCATGAAGTCTGCATAGCTAGAACCTGAGGTTTCCCTAAATATTAAATATAAGACATTTTCCCAATCATACAGTTTGCTGTTGTTTTCACTACCACTCTTTGTTATTATACTTAATGTGTAGCATACTGTACACGTATAACACACACCACTTTCCACACTTCATCTGTGGACTGGATTTATGATATACCTGATATTACTGGACGACATATGTTCCCTTTGGTCAAAGACAGTTTAAAAATCTTCTGCCTTTATGCTGCCATTTCAGAGATTCAGCCTATTGACCAGTAGTGCAGGAGAGAACCTAGCTGTCATAGAAAACGTATTAAGGAATTTATAACTCTACATGATTGTAAAGCACTATATAAAATATTGTACCACTTACAAAGCAGTAAAAATCTGTAACATTAGAGATTGATTCCCACATTACATATCCACAAAAGAGAAAAATTAAGGTCTTACAGGCAATTTTAAGAATAAAACATGTACCTATATATAGAGATAATGGGTTTGAACTCATACCCTTGCATACGAGCGTAGTGACTAGCTATTCACTACCACAGATGCCTCAAATTACTTCAGCCTCTGTGGCCTTCCTTGGACAGTCTGGTAAGGGATTGCCACCTACTCAGAGCCCAGTTTCTCTCTCACTGTGCTGCTGCTCCTTACTTACTGTGCAGTGCTCAATTATGCAAACGACAAAGTTTACTCTTGAAGACACATGCAGGTTACTTTCCAGTTGATCCTTAAATTCTTCCTGTTCTTGGAGCCCATGTAGGTTTTAAAACCAAAATTTTAAAGTTCTGTCTTCCCAGAAGTTTGAAATGTGCTGATAACAGTCTGAAGTTTTCTGATGCAAAGTCCATTTAAAAAAACTCTTCCATGCCTCAGAAATTCCATGATGCTGTACATTCATTAAACTGAATGATGCTGAAGAAGCAAAAATTCAAGGCCATCTCCTTTGCCATGTATAAGTTTAGCATGAAAATCCAAAAGGATAAATGTTTCATTGCTATGTTGAAGGAGCCTTGTACAATGAAAGGCAGACCATAGTATTCACTGGTGGATATTAATTTAAATATTTCAATTTTCATATCCCAGCCATGTTGGCTATACCACTGCTCAAATAAACCTATAAAGCAGTAGGAAGATTGAGCGCCATTTATTTTAGAGAAGCAGCACAGAAACGTGACCAGGTATTAAAATCCTGATGTAGGAAATCTTTTTTGACTGCAAATAGGACATTAAACACGGAACCTCTGTCGTTTTTAGTACACTGCCTAATTTAATATAAGTAATGTTCACTTCTTTTGCTATTAAACTAGATCTTCTGCTCTGTTTTTTTGTGTATTGCTCTTAAGTGTCCTCATGCATGTTGCAAATCAGCACACTGCTGTCTGGCACATTTGTTTCAGAAACAAATACACTCGTACGCAATTGCATTTATCTACAATTACAGTCTACAATTTATTTGTTTGAATTTGGTCCAATTTTCTAAACTCTTCAATATACTTTATCCTCTACTCCTCATAATCCCTGTTAGTGCAATAGTGGCAGGTTTGATAAGCGTAAGCTTCAGCTCCTATCACAGGTCATTTACAAAGACATCAGATATCACCAACTAACTCGCTATGCTCTGAAACTGTTCCCCAGCTTGCTTTGGTGGGGCCAGCTGATTTCTACATAATATAAAGCTCTTACAGGTGTAAAAGCAAAGGGAAAAAAGAGAGACTGAAAGTAATCTTCTCTCCATTATTACCTGATTCAAGCAAAGTACATTTTTGACCTGAGAAATTTCACTCACATTCTGGGATAATACAAAATTTTACCCTGCTTGAGCAGGGAGGTTGGACCAGATGACCCCACTGTGGTCCCTTCCAACATTACCCATTCTGTGATTCTGTGAAAATATTTCTGTTTGGCAAAGATACCAAAATATGCTCCTCTATATGCAGCTATTTAGAATTCAGTGGTATTTTAAAAATGCCTTTAATACTGAGCAACATGGTCTAGTGGAAGGTGCCCCCGCCCATGGCAGGGGGGTTAGAGCTTGATGATCTTTATGGTCCCTTCTAACTCAAACCATTCTATGTTTATGAGAAATGACCAAGCACTGAAAGGAATTACTAAAGAAGAGAAATTAAAGCAACAAACAAAGGTGTGACATGAGTGCATGAATGCTTGTGAGATGAGTGTGTGAACATGTGTCAGGCTGGAGTAGCTGGTGAGTAGGAGAACCATAGAGTTAAGAGGGACCAGGATCCAGGCAGGGATATGAGACAGACTGGGGTCCTGTGCCGGTAATCAAGGCATCAAAGCCCTGTGTAGTCACCCATGTGAATGTTGTGCATGTCCCCAAGATCTGTGCTAAGCATCACTACCGTTTGAACCTGGGAACATGAAAGCTGCACTCACCTACACTGGCGTGTGAGGGAGACATCCAGATCTCCAGGTGCACCAGCCTGGGATCCAGAGGACAAGGAGAAGGAATTGACAGGTCCTGGGGTCCACTCAAGGCAGCAGCCTTATAACATCTCTCAGCACAGTCACTCAATTCTGCCTTTAACTACATGACCTCATTTATTTTTTTCATATTCAGTGTTTAGGACAGATGATGTTTACCCAATGAGTTGCTGCGTATCCTTTTTTGCAGTTCCTAGGCCTCATATACTGTGTGACATTCAAACCGTAATCTGAGGATGAAGTGATTAATTTCCCATGGGTCTAGGTGCTCTAGAAGAGTATCTTGGTGCTTCACATCAAAGTGGTATTTTCTTCTTTCTCCAGATGTGGGACTGAGGCACACAGGATCTCAGTGAAAAGTCACATCTACAGTACAGTGCCTATGTGTTAGCAATTAAGGAGTATTAAAGCAGAGAGCACCCCTCTGCAATGTCTGGTTTATACATCTTTCCTAACAGATACAGACCAAACTCAAGTTCTTCAGAGCTCCATATAGCTGCCATAGCAACAAGACTAGTTCTTCTGCACCTGCAGTCCTTTGGTGTGTTATTGAATCCCTTTTAACTTCTTCAATAAATGAGAAAGAGATATGATTGTATTTTTATTAGAAATTCTTGAGCATCCCTAAACCAATGCCTTGCATCAGGATATTTCAGGTAACACAATAAAAAATAAAAAACAAAGCAAAAAAACATGCAATGTTTATATAGTTTCATCAGGAGTATATCTCCAAGCACATGTTGGAGGAGATAAGTATGTTGCCCCTATCTTATTGATGAAGAAGCTAACACACCAAGACAGAAGACCAGATGAACGACTCAGATGAGCTCTTACTTACAAAGCATTTTTTATTTCATGATTCCAAAACATTTTAAAACCATGGATATTATTTACTGTATTATCTACACACGGATAAATTCGGCTGCAGAAAGACTACACAGTAGTAGACAGATTACACAGTAATCAGTGAGAGAACCCAGTCCCATAACTCTGCAGTCAGTGAGGCCCATCAGATTGTAACAGGCTTAGCCATGGAACAGTTCTGAAAATGCCATCCAAGTTTCTGCATAACTCCAAACAGTACCTATACGACCCACATGTAGAAATATATCTATTTCCATAAAATTTAGCAGTTTATTCAGCAAAAATACATTCCTCTCGACGTGTTGTTGCTTAGGTTTAAATATAAAAAATATAGTTCTGTTTTCCAAGCAAGCAGATATACAAAAAAGTCAAGAAATATAATTTCCAGAAAGGAATGATAAATTTACAAATAAAAAAAGGAAATAGTATTGTTCTTAAACAAAGTACCTGATACAGACTTTATCATTCCAGTTAAGTCCCTCATCCTAAGGAGAAATGTACATAGTAATCCAGCTGAAGACTCAGGCCACAAAGCATATGGATATTCCTGACCAACCAAACACAAAAAGTCACATGTAGTTTTACTTTGTTTACTGTCTTCTGAAGTTTGTAACACAATAAAAAATTCATTTACCTGAAGTTGTAGAGTGTGTATTGATAATGCTCTTCCTGAACAATTGCTACTTGGTTATGAGTTTGTATATTAAATTTTAACCCTGTGCATACAGATGCAGGGAAGGCTTTATTTCCTGTTCTTCACAGGAAGGATATCTGTAATCCAGTAGTGAAACAGAGACATGGCTACCTTAGTATGATCTGAAACAAAGAAAACACATTCCTCCTGAAATAACTCCATGACATTTCTGAATAGGAAAGACTTGTGTGAGCATTTGTTTCCATTCAATATTAGCATTTCAGTAAAACCAATGAAGATATCGGAGCTTGAATACGCATGAATTTCTATATAAGCAGGTGCACTTTATTTTAGGAGGTCAGTCATTTCTATGAGAAAGTTTTGTTCCTATATTTTGAAATGTCCTATTTGCTATGATTCAATAATTCAGAAAAAAAGGAAGCTGAAATTACATGATCATTGGGTAAGGCTAGAAGAATGCCTCTTCACTTCTTTCTGTTTGGAGAGTAATTTCACACCACTATTGAACTTACAGTAGCACCTGGAAGCCCCATTTGAGAATGAGTCATTTTGTACAGATAGCTGCACTAAAGCCTCAAAATGCTACGACTTCTGTCTTAATTCAGAGATTACCTATGTGACTTTATTGATTTTAATGACAGGACTTTCCACAGTACTTACCATGTAATAATCACATTCAAAATTATTCTATAATGTTATGCTAATGTAGTTTTCAAATTTCTTTTCCTTTTCTTTGAATGTTACTCCATAAAAAGAAATGTAAATTTAATCATTTTAAGGCCTCTGTGTATCAGCCTCTGCACTGTAGGCAAACAGTAACTGCATTATTTCTGGTCTGCAAAATGTATCTCCCCCTTTATATATGAAGACATATATAAAGGACAACTCTCCAAAAAAAGGCAGATAAAAGAAGCTTCGAGCTCTGCCATGAGTGATAATTTCCTAGGCAACAAGGGAAGAGTATGTTTGAGATTTGAAACTAACCAACAAAGGGAAAACGTTAAGAGATAATGGAATGAAGTTCATGAGAAGAAGTTCATAAATGAGTACATAAATTAGGAGATACTGACTTTTTTTTAATTAGGCGATCACCTATGCTTTAATAATTGATGTGAAATAGGAATTAAGTAGCTCTCATTTAAACAGCTACAGTTTCCAACTAGCAAAGGGAGCACCACTTCCAGTCACAACTCTTCTCCTTTGCCCACTGCACTGTGCAGGACCATGAAGGTCTCTAGCTTCCTTTTGCAAATGGACACAGACTTTCTGACAGAGATCGGCAAAGCCCCCTAATGAGAAATCCATATCTATGTGACTTCTAAACATTCTCTTCCCTGCACTTATACAAGATTTTAGGTAGAGGTAAGTACTTTTTGTTAAAGACTACCAAATAAATGGAAACAGTAACAGGATATTTTGTTGTCTTTTACAGTCTGAGAACAATGACACTTTAAATAATTATGTTCACACAAACACTCCTGACCAACCTCAACTTTGTATGATCACTGAAGTACAAGGTCAACTTGACAGAGTAACTTGAAGCACAAAGTACAAGGTAAGTTGACGGAGGATGACAACTAGACAGAACAACAAGAATCTCTTAACCAGAGATTTTCTTATTCAAATATATTTTCTCATTTATATGAAGGGTTAAAGACAATACCTAATGTTGATAATTTTTCTGTTTCAATCTCTTTAGCAATTTCTTTGACAGTAAATATCGGGACCTAGGAGCTTAAGATAAAACAGAAACTTATTTCTTCATTGTTTCTTCTTTCTTTTGCTTGCACGTGATTCCCAATATGAATAACATGCTAAGAGATGTGAAGGAAATACCAAAACATGGTATTAAACCAGTGATTTTTAATTTGTGATCTGCAGACCTTGAGCAGCCCCACGGCTTTATTTAAGGGGTCCGTAAAAAGTTACTAAAAAACCAAAATTTATCATAAGGCATAAACTTGGTAACCCCAGTGTAAAGTTAGATGAAACCATAACATACATATATATGAGGAAATAAAAGACATATAATGGTATGTATAATTTGTAAATTTTACTAAAGGAGAATGTGCACTTATATGAAAGAGATGGATCACTTCTCATTTTTTTCTTACTCTTCCCTTCCTGGAATTAAAGATAAAACTGAACAAAACATAGCACCCATCATGACTCCTTTGATGCTGGCAGCTTAAATAGAATCATAACCATGGGAAAAAGGGTTAACATATTGCTTGAACCTTAATATATTAACGTATATAAGAATATGCTTAACATATTCTTGAACCAGAGGGAATAAAATGTTTATTTTGTAAAAATAATACACCTTTCTAAATTAGATTGTTTTTTTTACCATGTTAATATAGAATGACCTTTGCTTCTAGTACATCACACCCCAGTAAAAATAAAGAGAAAAAAGGCAAGATAATCAGATAAATTTGCAAAAAAAATAGAGATAACTATGATGTACTGTACATTTTTATCTCCATAAACAGTCCTAACTTGTATTTCTATATTAAGAACTTGAATTTGCTAAGACAACAAGTTTTTGAAATAACTCTTAACTTTTATCACCTCTTAATTGGGAATGAAATCTAAAACGTAAAATACCCAGACTGGACAAGATGACCTATTTTTGAGCCAAAAGTAGGAAAAGCCCCTATAATTAAAGGCCTAATTCGAAGTAAAATTGCAGAACATTATATTTTCATTCATTGAAATTTCTGAATTACAAATAGAATGTATTGTTAAACTCTGCTGAGGCAAATTAATACCTAGCAGATGTTTAATTATCATTTAATAATTTATAAGAATGTATTTTCCTATTTCTTATGTTGTTATACCTCATGAATATCAAATCAACTACTGTGGTTACATCTCTGTGAACTTGAAATGAGATTAGAATTGAGCCTGGAGTGACAAGAGTTACTAAGGAAAAAAAATTTAACTGCAAGAGTAAACAATCCCAGGCTCTATCAGTAGAAACATTAATGAATTTTAAAAATCACTCAGAAAATTGTCTTCTGCTTTTCCAAGTGACAAATACAAGCATCAGAAAATTATGGTTTTTAATTTGCTTCTGTTTTCTCTCTTCAGTTGGAGATTTCTGCTATATAAAAGTAAAGAGAGCAACTTGTCTCAGGGCTGCAAAACCCAACAGAATTCCAACTGTATTGCAGAGAATATGGATAAGGCCTGTAAAGAATATCCTGAATGTAGTCACTTCAACAGTTCCATTTTGCTTTAACCGACAGAAGCTAAATTAGGTAATTCAATAAAGTGCCAATACCATTTTCATTATTCCTGTTGAGTTCTACCTGGTTTGCACATGTGTATTACATCCAATGAGACTGTGTGATTATAATTAAGATTGTAGAATGTAGGCTTGAAATGCACAGGATTTTGTCCCATGTATAAGTAGATGCTTCACATCCATGATAATCTTAAGGGTTGTCATACTCTGTATCTATCCTTAAAAGAATACATATGTACTTCTCTAAGAGTGTCCTTTTAAAAACGTATCAGCTCTGAACTCTACAGGCAGGAATTCTCTCTTTTTAGTTTAAAACCCTGAATCATCTTCTATTCTATAGTTGCTGCAAAGTGAGAAAAGTTTCTGTATTGATTGTAACCAAATGGAAACAGGGTAATTGCTATATTTTTGGCAAGAATTATATTTTCAAGTTTTATATAAGCATATATTTACCACTATATGATTATTTACAGCTTCCTAATAATAATAAAAAAGTGATGTGAATTTTAATCCACACAAAAAAAAATCAGTGAATAAAAATGAGTGAATGGTACCTAATGGTACCTACCAGGAAGCATCATGGATTGTTCTTGGAATTGTTTCAAGGCATCCTTCAATCTCTCAATATCCTGTAGCAATACAAGGGATTTCAACCGATGTAGATGAGTCACATCTGAGGAAGAGATGGTGCGAGATTCAAGATATTGTAAGAGTTCTTGGGCAGTTGCTGAATTTACAGCAGTATCTGTGCATTCTGATTTCTCTGGAAAAACAATTCGAAAACTATGTTAAAAATGTTCAGTGAACACAGAGAAAAATTTTCCTAATTATACTTTCTTTTCAAAGATAGCATCTTCCTTTTTAGTACAACTCACAACCAAATATCAGGCACTAAAGAGCAGCTTGCTCCTCCAACTTCTTCTTAAATATAAAAACAATGGTAAGAGGGGAAAACTACAAAATTCAATAAGTAAAAAGGACAGTAGGATTCACAATGACAGGAATGCAAGAGGAATCTAAATTTTCAAAATTAGCAGAGGAAGAAGGTGTGATGAAGAAACTGTACAGTGGCCAAAGCACTGTGTTTTTGCTTCCTACACACTACGTATTACAAAAATGCACACACATTTGGAGACAGGGAAACTGTGGAACAACTGCAAAGCACTTCTGGAGGCTACCAATTATCTTGTTATTGCACCTGTATGTTTTTATTTAAAAAGCAGGTATAACAGCATGGAAGACAGCAGAGAACGGCATGCATTGTTTATACACTACTAAAGCATAAATTCTTCCATTCCAGTAACAAGGTGTAGTCTGTCCCTTTAACCAGACTCCCTTTAATTCTTCTGTTTTTTACCAGCAAGTCAACTGAGAAGAACAGAATTTTATCGATTCAGCTTTTTAAGATATAGAGTAGAAGTATAATCCAATGTGACCATTTGAAAATGCTGCTAAAAGCAATGGCTTCCAATTTTATCTAAAAGAAACAGGGAGTGTTAAAGTCATTCAACCAGAAAAGGCAAACAGCATAATGTCAAATCTATATATAAACTACGATTTGCCTAACAAGAAAGTTAGTCACACTCTGATTTGTGGATATCACACCTTATCTGCAGACGAACTTCCTTTTACCTCAGAATTCCTCTCTGTGGATTCCAAGGTCCCCATTGGCTCAACACTGATCTGCTGGTTTGAAACCAGGGCCAGTCAGTCTGTCAAAAACTGTCAAAACCTGAACTTGACTTCCTGAAAAGCTGGAAGCTCAACAACACTCCTTCTTAAAGTTCAAGATACAACACAGCTGTGGACAACTGATCAGGTTTCTGTTCTGTTCATGCATTAACAGCAGAACTTGAAGAGTCTGCAATCTTTCTCAGTTACTCTGGTGTTCTACCACAGCAAACACATGTAATTTAGCTTACATTTACTTAGCTATACAGTGAAGTAGTAAAATTCGTATTTTTGGTGATGGAAATACATTAGCCAAAAAGTAGGATAGATTTCCAATGCTAGGTCTAGTATGAAGACCTGATGCAGCAGAAAAACTTAACAGTGAGTAAAGAAAATTCTAAGTACACATCTTGAAAAAAAATTAACATGAAATCCCTGATGTCATCCTAACAGGGTGTTTAAAGTAATTCTGTAGTCCAAAGATGAATTTTACGGGACTAGGAGCCAAGAGCTCTGACTTAAGATGGACTCATACAGATATGTAAGCTGTTTAATATTCTCCATTCAGCTCCACAGTGACCAGATGAACATTCAATAGGCCATTAGGGATAACATCCATGCAATCCTTTGAAAAGTGCTATGGAATATGCATTATGCGGTTCTCATTCATCTTGTTCAGAAGTGCTTTATGCCAATACACTTTCGCAGTGCCAACAGTATCCTGCCCTTTCCTCTTGCATGCTGTCTAGATTTCCTTATATAATACAAAGAAATCTCCTCCTGGGAAAGAGAACATTCCGAAAAGTAGGTTGGTTTAGAGATGCTAAGCATGAAAGTAGTTTAGGATAGCAATTGCCCTCATTTGAAGTCCTCTGAAAGGAAGTAATCCTTCTGGATGTTTACTTGCAGAGGAAAGAAGAATTTGGCCCATTTTCACCACTTGCCCCGAGTGCTTTGGAATGTTTAAGAAAAGAGTAAGGAATACCATGTATATTTTCAAAGATAGAGAAACAAAGAACCACAGGTTTTTTCTATTGATGTGGATTCTTACATATTCATGTACACACCAGAAAGTGGGACAAATACTAAGCACTCACATGTCTTACTGAGTTCAAGAGAGACACTTCTCTAGTAGATTTGTCCCATTTTACAGCATTAATAAACGCACATCCATTTTCCCCTGCGTGGTAATACTCATGAAAAGAGAGAAGAAAGAGTGGTACATACTGTCAGCAAAATAAATTTGTTGTGTTGCCTGCAGGAAGTCCAGAATGCTATCTGCCTTTTCATCTATGTCTTTTAAGCCTGCTGCTTCTTCTCTGTTGTTTTTGTCAGGCTGATATGTAAAATCCACACTGGTAGTTTTTGTTACCAAGCCAGCTGCTCTCTTTTTTTCTTTCTGTCGCTTCTTTTTCATTTTCCTCTTTTTGTTTCTGCTTATTTTGGGACTGTCTGTCTGCTGCAGCTGTAAATTATCTTGAACAAGAGCCTCTTGCATTCCACAATCTGTTTGTTCTCCATGTAAATTATTAGAGATTTGCAAACTGCTCTTTTGTTTCTTCCTTCGAACGCACTTTCTCTTGGTTTGCCCTTGATATTCCTCTTCTGCGGATTCAAAAGAGACATGAGAGCTGTAAATAAGATGATCTGTAATAAGCATTTTAGAACTAAGAACAATAAAATATTACACCCTTCAAATTCTGGGATGCCAGAGTGGCTCTAACCTTACTCAATGCATTTAGAAAAGTTGGCTTTGACATTGTAGTACTGAAAGACATTCTAATCATAAAAGTAAGACAACAAGCTCTTTTCCCTTCTTCTTTCAATAAAGACTGTATTGTCCTTTGTGCTACATACTTTACATTGCATTTACTTTCTTAAAGCAGATAATATGGTTCTATACCGAATGAGGTCAAAACAATCCCCAGAACAAAAAGCAGTATGGGCAGGCTGGGGAACTCGGCATGAGAGAGGTTCCCAAGGAGTGCCCCACCACCAGTCTAGTCTGTAGACTTGACCAAGAACGCAAGGAGAATGCACACAATTGACAGTGAAACGTGTTATATTGATGATGTTCATTCATGACAGTGTGGTGCTTTAAAAACACCAGGCATCTGCTTCTGACTCATCTACTTCCTCCTCCTTAAACATCCTCCTCCTTTAGGGTATCTTACTGTTAGCTCAGTTTTGGACATCAATTTTATAAGAAAAGCAACAGTGACCTTGGTAAGTAGTCTCCAATCTCTTTAACCGCCTGCCTCCGTTCTGTTGTTCCCTTGCTACATTATAATTTCCTTACTAGCTAATTTTTCAAAAGGCTCAAATGTCATGGGAAATAAGTCTCTCTTGTTCTCCAAGACAGCTTTTGTGCTTCTTTACTTAGATCTTATCCCTGTACACAAAGCAAGTCATCTCTGACCCTGAACTGACTGCTTCTCCCACACACTTACTTCTGAGTGTTAGCCCTCCTAACACTAGGCAAGGAAGACTGCCAGAACCCATCTTTCCCTTTGAGTGTACTGCTGCTGAAGTCCATATTCATGTCTGTAATAATTCCTGTCTAACTGAAATTCCCTCCTTCATGGTCTAACAAAATCCTCACACGTTTGAACATCATGGAGTGCAGAATACCCGTGTTCTTCTATGTATTGAGTTTGCATGGCAAGATTTTGGTCATGGTGGAGGTTACAGTAGTGACTTCTGTGAAAAGTTAATTTGCCAGAAGCTTCCTCTATGTCCGATAAAGCCAACGCCAGCTGGCCCCAAGACAGACCCACTGCTGGCTGGCTAAGGCTGAGCCCATCAGTGACAGTAGTAATGCCTCTGGGATAACATAGTTCAGAAGCAGAAAAAAGTTATTGTGCAGAAGTAATTGCAGCCAGTGAGACTATGTTAGAGAAACAACTCTGCAGACAGCAAGGTCAGTGAAGAAGGAGGGGGAGGAGGTGCTCTGGGAGCCTGAGCAGATTCCTCCACAGCCCATGGTGCAGAGCATGGTGAGGCAGCTGTGGCCCTGCAGCCCATGGAGGACCATGGTGGAGCAGAGATCCACCTGCAGCCTGTGGAGGACCCCACACTCGAACAAGTGGAAGCCTGAGGAAGCTGTAGCTTCATAGGAAGCCCACACCAGATGAGGCACCTGGCAGGATCTGTGGCCTTATGGAGAGAGAAACTCACACTGGAGCAGGTTTGCTGGCAGGACTTGTGACCCTGCAGAGGACTCACACTGGAGCAGTCTGTTCCTGAAGGACTGCACGCATGCTGGAGGGCTTCTTAAGAGACCCATGCTGGAGCAGTTCATGAAGAACTACAGCTCATGTGAAGGACCCATGCTGGAGAAGTTCATGGAGGACTGTCTCCCATGGGAGGGACCTCATGCTGGAGCAGGGGAAGGACTCCTCTCCCTGAGGAGGAAGTAGCAGCAGAAACAACATGTAATGAACTGGCTGTAACCCCCATTCCCCATCTCCCTGCACTGCTGCGAGGGAGGAGGTAGAGAACAGGGAACAAAGTTAAGCCTGGGAAGATGGGAGGGATAGGGGGGGAGGGTGTTTTTAAGATTCAATTTTACTTCTCATTATCTTGCTCTGATTTTGATTGGTAACAAATTCAATTGATTTCCCCAAATAGAGTCTATTTTGCCCAGGTGAGTGATGGTAATCGGTGAGTGATCTCTCCCTGCCCTTAGCTCATGAACCTTTATTTTCTCTTTCTTGTTCAGCTGAGGGAAGTGATAGAGTGGCTTTGGTGGGCACCTGGTGCTCAGCCAAGGTCAAACTACCAATTCTAATGTCTTGCTCTAGAAAGCTAAGCCATTTATCTTTCCCTCAACCTCTACCTGCATGTTTCTAAATTCCTCACAGTGCACTGAGCCTATTACTTTTATTTATCTGGGCTTACAACATTCCCTTAGGGTCAAAGAATCTTTGCTTGGCTAACACTGGCATAACACAGGAGAGACACCTGAAGCCCAATGCTCGTTTCAGGATGATATGCATAATCTCCTGAACTGCCTCTGACATTCTCAGCTTGTTTGGCTTTCTCATCACTCTCCCCCCAACTAGTCTTTGCCTCTATTTTCTCCATGGTTGGAGGCCCTCTTTCATTTCTGTTTCTTTTTCTGTCTTGAACTCTGTCAGCTCTGAGCCACTTTCTCTTTAAATATCACTACAGACTTGCAGTTCTTTAGCTGTCAGATGACTCACTGCAAAGCAATTTTCCATACTTTCAATGAAGGCAGGCTGCATAAAAATATATTTGCTGTATTATAACTGAACACCACAGCATGTTAAAGACATGCCAAACATCACCCTGGACCCACAGTGTGGAATGCTTCACACCCATGGTATTTGAGCTAAATATCTTTATATGTGATTTGGACATATGGGATGTGGGAAAAATAACGTCTGTGTCATCTTGAAGGAATAAAATATCAGAACTGAAGGCAGATATGAATGGTGAAAGATGCTATAAACAAAACTGTTTCATCTTGAGATCTAATTTGGATTTTCATGGGAGTATTTGTGTTATAATAGGTGAATTTCAATGCAAATGTAGGTACATCGTTTTCAAAATTCCTCAGCCCTCTATTAACCTGAACCTCACTGTTTGCTAATAATGCTAGTTTAATCTATGCTCTCAGCAAAGTGGCCCAACTTGCTCTTGAAGCATCTGAGAATCACCAAATCTCAGCAAAACTACAGCATGTTGTGCAGACAAGCACCCTCAATTGGTTTGAAACCACTTGAAAAAAACAGTGCAGAAGCCAGGACCGGGCTTAAGATAATTGATCTTTTGTGTCAAATCCAAAAGTTTCTTTAACCTAGGTAGCTCAGGACAGCAGAAGGTCTGAAGAGACCATGGTGAAGCTCTCAAAATGCAGATTGAATGTAGCCTTGCTATGTGTAGGTATTAAGATAACTACCTGACTGAAAGTAAACAAAAACTATGCTTTCCTCCAACATGGGAAAAAAATCAAACATAAGACTCTACTACCCTACCTAAGTTCTCTTGAGAAGTTAAGAGTGGCAGTCCTTCAGCAGTTTTTGTCATTCTTTGTCCTGTATTTCAGCAGCTCTTTAGTAGCTACTCTTCCATGTGTGGGAGCTACTAGTGATTCAGCATCAGGAACAGACAAAATTAGACGCTTACGAATGCAAAGCAATGCACACAAAAGGGATTAATTTGAACAACCTACTGCTAGGGCCAGAGTGAACTGTTATCAGCTCAAGAAAAACAAAAGCCAGATCTGTGCATCAGTATAGAAAGCTCAGTGAAAACATTTGCTCAGTGGGTATCAAGGATCAAAACAGCTAACACCTTGTTTGCCTACATAAGAAAGGAGATGGAAAATAACTGGAAAAATATTCCAAAGCTATTATATAAACCTGTTGTACTCTTCAAGCTTGTAATACTGTGTTTCTTAGCATAATCCCTGAATAAGACGACTTTGGCAGACAAGAGGAGGACTCTTACAGAAGTTACCAGAGAAAGAAAGTCCAAAAAGGTTTGTATTATCTGACTTGAAAGAAAGAGTAACAAAATAGACTTCATTTCTGCCTCCTCACGCAAGAACAACGTGACGTCCAATTAACCTGAGCGGTTTCACAAGCTAACAGAAGAAAGTAAATCCTTGTGTTACTAATGGTACAGATTGCTATTGAATTCCCATGTGTGTGGCATGCACAGGAGACTGAAGAACTGGTTGTTCATATGGCCAGTAAGGCTACCTGATTATAACAGCCATGCTAAAATATAAATAAGAGTTGTACAAGGAACATAAACCATAAAGTTTAGGTCACGTCTCACACAAGGATCTCAACAAGTGACATGTTCAGTGGGATTTGCTCCCACACTTTAGCTGTCTGAAAATACTCAGTGCATACTTAGACTTATGCCCCCTCAGATAACCCAAGAGACACTACCATCTTCAGAAAACAGTTTGCCTCATCCTAAACCAGCCTGGATGGAAATGCAAGCTGAAGGACTAATCTCTCTCTCTCTCTCCCCTTCTGTTAACTACAAAGGAAATGGAGATAATGAATTTTGACTAGAGGCTTGCAACAACTGAGAAGAATTAGTCTCTTTTAGTATGGAAGAAGGTGTTTCATAACATGAGTCTGCTCATGAGATTGACTTTTGGTAATTATTAATTATTAATTATATTTGGTAATTTATTAAAAACACCCAAACAAAACAAACAAACTTCTGACGGATTCTCTAGGTTTCACCAATAGGGAGGCCTGATAAAATTTCAATAGATACAAATTTGGTTCTAATAACTTTTCCCACTGATGGAAAATGTTTGTTATGTCAAACCTGCATAATTATAACAAATGCAGGGAATATACACTATGCAAGCAATCTCAGGATGGGGAATAAGTACTTCAGCAACAACAACAGGAATAGCAGCTTTTGGGCCACACTAACTCTAGCCACAACTGCATCTACAGCTTGTCTTAATTCCAAAAGAGCTGATGATTCTTCCCCTGTTCCATAATGGCCTGTCACCTCTCTCCCTCCTAAGACCCATCTCTGTTCCACAAATCACTTAATTGATCATGTAATCTAATTATCCAGAAGCAATTGACTCTAACCTGTTTATC